TTAAATTAATTACTGTTTCTTCAGTGCCATTGAGCTTGATCACGTTCTTGAAATGAATCATGCCAAAATCAGCATTGTCTTGACATAAATTAACTTCTCCTTCAGTGCCATTGGCCTCTTCATTGTTGTGTAAAGGAGTAATGCCAAGATCATCATTCTCCTTGAATGAATTTCCATCTGGCATTTCATTTGAAATGCTTCTTCTGGCTGAAGTAATTCCTTTTAAAACTCCATGTGCTTTAACTTGAATTTCATAATCATCCTCTTGAAATTTGGCTAGAAGTCAAAAAAAATAATCTCACCTTATCAAGTACTGCAATGTTAGAATTACTCACAAAATTGTGAATTTACCTGTTTTGTCAAAGGGAGACATTTCCTTAAAAATTTGATGTAAATTAGAGTCAGCTGAGGAAGAGAAATACAACTATGGGTTTAGTAACGTTGCACCTGAGCAGACAAATCTTAATTAGAATAAGCTCACCTTCTTTAACACAAGTAGACGAAAAGAAAGACACATCTTGTCCTACTACTGTGTTCATTCCGTGCACAGCAGGCTCAATAACAAGTTCATTCCGGAAAAATATGATCTTTTCTTTTTGACTTGATAGGCACATCTCACTTGCTATTTTAGAATTGATGAACTGAGTATATTGAAAAAACGTAGAACACTAATTTAAGCATACTTGCTTGTAGGATGGAGTAGGAAGAAAGAATATGGTTAGAGCATATTAACTTACCTCGACAAAAACCTCATTACTTTCTTTACAGTAATTCAGAACTCGTTTAATTGATACCTTTGTTGTACTGTAAATGTTCTTCCTGATTCGTATTTTCTCCAAGGCGGCTTTAAAGGTTAACTGAAATACAAAACGAATATGTAAACAGTATAATTGTTAAACAACAACAACATCGGAAAAAGTAAGAATAGTGCCTCCATGAAATTGACAGGCAGATTGGAGACCTTCACTGAAAGGGAAGGTTTTTAGGTGTTACACACCAATTTCGCTGGGCCGCGGTACATATTCCAGGGGACACATGTAGGGGAGAGCGGGGCAGTTTGAGGAACGTTTCGTTTTTTGGCTCTAAAAACTGAACTATTTGTCGCACAGACCTGACGTTTTGACACAAAGAAGGTGGCATTGGCATGTATCAACCCTTTAAAGCGCGTTGCAATGCGGTGTCTTTGTGAGGAGATATAGCCAGTTCCTCATACTACCCCGCATTCCTCAAACTACCCCATGTGCGGGGCAGTATGAGGAACGCCGTGGGGCAGTTTGAGGAATGGCCTTTTGCTCTTCGTCAATGAATCGCATGGTATCGTGCTTTACAGCGTCAAGGCATTGCCTCCTTCCCTTCACTGGGTCAAAATTGCACATCTGTACCTCAAATAGTTTCGTTTTTAGAGCCAAAACTCTAAACGTTCCTCAATCCTACTAAAATATGGCCTTCCAGCGGGGCAATCCTATCGGCCACACGCTATAGCATGGGCTGGCCTATCCTCAATTTACCCCGTGCAGGTCTTCCTCAAACTACCCCGTTCTGCATTGATTCATTCAAATAATCCCTAAAAAATTACGGGGCGCTGTATCATACCGTCCGGCACGGCAAAATAAGCAGGAAGGATGTCTTCTCTTACACAAAAGGCCCCATCGCATCAGGGGCGCTCCGTAATATCAAAATTACATAATATATAAGGTGATAAAACTCCCGTTTTGGCTGCCAACTTGTCTATTTTGACATTCGTAGTTTAAAAAACGCACCAGTTTACTCGCAGCTTTTACGTATGAACGTTTTTGAATGAAAGTACTCTAGGACAATTTAGTACTCAACCTACGGCGGTGTCAGTGCCCGCAATCAAAATTTGTAGGCAGTTCCTCAAACTGCCCCGTTCCTCAATATGCCCCACTCTCCCCTAGATTAAGATTGGCACCGGTTTTAGCTGCCCATACTATGTTTTTCGTTTGTTTTGGACAATTTTTAGTAGGAAAACATCATAAAACCAGAAAAAATGTGATCTTCAAATGCCTATATCTCCGAAACCGTTTGACCTACACCCCCCAGATTTTGCACAGAGGTACGCCGAATTTGTAACTAAATTATCGTGAAGTATAATTTTTTTCGAAAAACATCGAAGAAAATGTCACAAACTATGTGCACCTTCCTTACTTGGATTTCGACTTGGATTTCGGACCATTTCAACAATTTTTTTCGACTCTTCCCATATTTTTAGACAATTAAGGTATCTATGCGGTCTACCTCTGTGCAAAATCTGGATGGCGTCGCTCAAACGGTTCCGGAGATATAGACATTTGAAGATCACATTTTTTCTGGTTTTATGATGTTTTCCTACTAAAAATTGTCCAAAACAAATGAAAAACGTAATATGGGCAGCTAAAACCGGTGCCAATCATAATCTACATATGTCTCCTGCAATATGTATCGCGCCCATCGAAATTGGTGTGTAACACCTAAAAACCTTCCCTGTGAGGCATCCACATTCCAAATTAATTTTTCAGGTGATAAAATCTTGCAAGCTTTTTTTCTGAGAGGACTCTCACTTTCAGACACAACCCCTACAAAACGACAAGCAATCACATTGTACGCCATACATTAATTACAAATTTAAAATTGGATTACTGCCTTTCCTCGTGGAACGTGAGGTTACGCCAGCACGAAAACTGGAAACAATTCGGCCATGAACGTACCTGCATCTAACAACTGATCTTCAGCATCCATAATGGGGATCTTCAACTCTAATGACTTTACTATAAATATGAACTCGTTGATTTGTACTTGCTGGAAGTATATGTCAAACTGTCAAATTGATTTGTGCCGTGCCGGCTAGTGCCGGCTGCTGACAAGTGACAACTTACAACTGCTGCCGACAGAGCGCGCGGTATCGTGCTGCTGTAACACTCCTACCACTACCATCAATATGAGGGTTTATTGGTGCGATATTTTCACTGAACTTTATTCATTGTTCTGTCCTCTTTTCAAAAATGTGCAGGTCGACCTACTTCTGTGCACGAAAACGTTTATTTCCAGCCCTCCCCTCCTCCCGGGTGGTGCGGATCCGTGCGGACGCAAGTTCGGCGGAATCCGCACTAAACTGGACAACCTCGCGGTCCCGCCCCGACTGCACGGACGCATACGTACTCTCTCTGCGACTTTCACTCGGAGACTGACGTGGTCGCTCGCTGTGTCCAGCCAGCAGCTGTGCAGTGTGCAATGCAGAGGAGCCAGCAGGTAGTTCGGGGGCCCTGGGGCCGCCCCACCGTTCCCCTCTTCTGCTCGCAAGTGCGCCAGTCTAAGGATTAGCGCCAGCGCCCGGCCGGGGTTTCCTGGGAAGTAAAAAACCAGACAAGCACGGCGCTGTCCAGGTGAACCGAAAGCGTACTGGGGTCGCTCTGTTTGTTTCGGAGCAACCAGAAAGCATACTCAGGTCGCTCTGCTCCCTCACGGAGCGACTCGATGACGGACATAGTCGCTCCGGAGCGAATCTCCGGTGAACCTTGGCGATACGTCGCCTAGGAGCCCGACGAGCATATCAAAAGCAAACAAATCTTTTAGCGTCGGGAACCTTTATCGAACAGCAGACGTTTCATGTCCATAATTTTAGAGTATTGTGTCCCCGACAAATGCTGTCAGTGTTTCAAATTTTGGTGCCGGAAGGCCCTGTTCCCGGATACCTTCCCATTAGCTCGTCTCGGGTGTCAGCGCCGCAGGCCTAGCTATATGTGCGCCAGGCGCGTCGCAGCGTAACAGTGTTTTGTGAGATATCGCGAAGCCTGTTACGCGAGACGTGGTCTGGCGTACATATAGCTAGTAAATGTAATTTCTAACCCGGACAGGATAAATGTTCCCAAATCAATTACAACCTTCGTTATGCAACATTTGGACCTCTGCTGTGTATGGGTCAAAGAATTATGCTAGGTTTTCTGGCTCCTTCAGGTGACCAAACCATGCAGAAATTATAAATGGCTGATCTTGGCCCTGAAAACACACAAGAATAGGAAAGTAATGTGCATTGTTGGTGTTGAAAATTGGAATTCCATCCATGTTCACATCCAAGACGATTTCATTGTATACAATGAAATAAGTATACTTATTTAAGTATTGGAGGTCTATGCGAGATCTTATGTTGGACAAAATTCCCTTATACCAATATTGTCCTCCAGCACAATCTACAATATTTTTATCAGTGGGGGTATGTAAGAAAGTCCCCCGTGTTTTAGGGAGGAAAGAATGCACTATATTCAAAATACTGAGTAGCTCATTAACTTTTGATGTTGTCACTCCTCTCTTTGCCCAACATCTCAATGAGTTTAATAAATATAAATTCAAGTCATCTTGGTCCCATGCTGCATTCCCCTCCCCATCACGATCTCCTTCAGAATTTGAATCGCTGTTGGCGTCAGATGATTACCCTTCTTCGACTACGTTGTCTTCCTCTACTTCCTCAACACCACTGCTTTCTGTTCTATCGCTATTATTATCGCTTCCCTCCCTAAGTAAATCTTCATCATTTGCTCCATCATCTTGACTGTCGCTGCCATTAGAACTTTCAGAATTATATGAAGAACTACTGGTGGTTGCTTGATCAAGAATTCGTGCTTCCTCTCTGACCCCAGCAAGATACATCAGCTGTGCTGCTCTAGCCCTTGCCTGGTTTAGGATGTCTCTGCCCCTGTCCCTAGGCTAGAAATAAATTTAGAACATATCAAAACTTTACTAAAGCAAAAGGTGTTTATGCAAACAATACTACTGACAATTAACTCTATGTCGACATGAAGAAATGCTTAATTTAAACATGAGATTTTGTTCTATTAGGTTGTGCTGTTTTTTTTTATACAACAAATTTTTAAAGTGATATTAATGAATAGACAATAAATTTGCCTCATTTTCTATTTTGACCAGAGATAAGGTTATGGGGCACTCTAGAAAAGTTGCGAGAAGTTAGGAGTGTCTTCTTAGGCGTAAAGTGATAAGACTACACTTACCGGTCTCAATGCCCGTTGCTCACCGTCCATTCTCGAAATTCAAATTCAAAACAATTCTTTTCGAAAACTTTTGTTGTACCGGCCGGCGAAAGTAACGTTGGAAACATGGAGGTTGGAAATCTTGCTTGCACTCGAGTGTGAGAGTGAGTCAGCCAGGGTTGCTTTTGTTAGGTATAAAAATAATAAAAACATCAAGGTCTTTTATAATATTATTGAAGGGTTTTCAAAAATAATTTTGTATACTGTCAAAGAGAAGTACGTTTCAAAGTACGTTTGTTTTGAAACATCAAAATGATCTGTTTCTGTTGATTGGGATACCAACAAAATTTGTGTTATTTTCAGATGCGACATATGTTGTCCTTCAGTGGGAACAGGCCACAACGTATTCCTTTGTGTTGTGGAAAATAAGGGATCCTGACCATCCACCAGTGACAATAGGGTATTTCAATGGAGCGCTGCCCGGAACTAAGAAGAACAAAACCGGATACAGAGAGCGGTGGTGGGGGCGGG